GATTTTTAAATCCCTTCCGATTCCTAAACCATCAGAAAAAAAATCTTTATCAAGTGTTTTTCCCTCAACGCTCTGGCACATTAGGGTTAACATGAAATAAATATTGTTTTATATTTCTGCCAGTGTTATGGTCATTGCTATGAGGGAAGATAAGGACAGGGAATAAAGGCTCTTTCTGAATTCACATTCAAGTGAAATCTAAACTTAAACTACTATTAATACTGAAGACATTCCAAAATCTGGTCCCACGCTCTTTTCACCCTTGCTTCTATCATTCTACTACCAAACCAGAATCCCAACTGTTCTCCAAATGCTGTGTTCTTTCCTGCCTTCAATATGTCAAGTCAACTGTCTTTCTCCTAGCTCACGTCTGTAAGCATGACATGTGAATGAAAATAACTCATATATCACATGTAATATTGATCAGAGCACAGACAGCATTCCTTCCCCATCCCCAGAGAATCTGACTGAACAGGGTAATGTCACCATAATTTATTCTCCTTAACAAAAACAAACCCAGGCAAATTGTAAGCAAAACCAGCCTCTAAAGAAAGGCTGAATTAAAGAGCAGGTGAGATAAATGCAAAGCCTACCTATTGCTGCCAAACAAATATCCTAATATTCCTCCAGTTCCCAAGCCGGTCCAGAACCCTGGTCCTGAATTTTCATGTCCTCCTTGTCCCGTGAAAGCACTGCCAAAACCGTAAGTTGCACCATGCGGTCCTAGAAACAGAAATGATTCATATCCTCACTTAGACTAAACATAGCCTACAAAACTAAAGGGAGTATGACATGTCGATATTTTCACTTGTACGATTTATTAATAATGCTCAGGCCTCAACTTACAAACAACATATATTCAAAAAGTGTATTCATAAAATACTGTTTACAAAACAGTGTTTATAAAATCAAGGAGCGCCTGCCTTTCCCACACACATGGAAAAGGCGAATGTACTTTAGGATAAGGGAGGGTGGTTTCCTCCTGTGAGGTCACATCTGCCCTGTTCAAGATCAGCCACTAGAAGATGACCCCACGTGTCAGAGTTACTTCCTTTCTACACGGTGAACATCTCTAGAAGCCCCAGTTGAGATCTGTACCTGAGTGTTTCATGGAGGAATTCAAGAGGATATTTGCTACTTGGGAAGTCAGGTCTTAAAAGTGACCCCAAAAAATTTCTGCTCAAGTTTTTCTTAAATTGATGTATAACACACATAAAGGAAAAGTATGCCAATCTTATGTGTACAACATAGTAACTTCATATGTAAGTACCCATGTATGTAACACTACCCACATGAACAAAACTTTCCTAGCATTCCAGGGACTCCCTCGTGGTATCTCCCAACACATACCACCCGCATCAGAGATAAGCTTACTCTGACTTCTCTCACTACACTTTGGTTTTACCCACCCTTGAACTCTTTATAAATAGAATCATATAGTGGGTACTCGTCCGTGTCTGGCATACCATTATGAGAGTCGTCTCCACTACTGCATGTATCAGTTTTTGCTTTTTTCTAAACTTACGTATAGTATTTCAAGGTGTGAAAAAAAAAACCCACACTTTGTCTCATTCTAATGTTTATGGACATTCTATTTCCAGTTTTTGGCTGCTGTGAATAAACTGCTGTGAACGTTCTTGTGTGCATCTTTTTGTGCACACATGCATGCACTTCTCTTAGGTCTGTATCTAGGAATGAAATCACTGGGTCATTGGTTGGCATGTGTCTGTTTTAGTAGATACTGACAGTTTTCCAAAGTGTTTTATCATTTTAACTTCTTCTAGCAAGTTCCAGCTGACTGTATCTTTGCCCTTAATTGGGACTGTGTCTTTTTAATGTTAGCCATTATGGTGGTTATATGGTAGTTAATTAAGAACCAGGTTTTAATGCGCATTTTCCTGAAGACTAATGATGCCAAGCACCTTTCGTATTTTTAGTGGACATTTGGATATCTTCTTTTACTACAAAATGGCTGTTCAAGACCTCTGTCCATTTTCAAAATTAGGTTGTCTCTCTTTTCTTGGATTTGTGAGAGTTATTTTTGTAGCTACATGTTCTTTATTGGAAATATGTTACTTCTTCCAGTCTGTGGCTTGCCTCTTCACTCTCTTAATGTTGTGTTTTGATGACTAGACATTCTTAATTTAAATGAAGTGTAATTTATCCATCTTTTCTTTTTGGCTAGCATTTTTTATATTCTAAGAAGTTTTTGCCTATCATGACAAATATTTCCCTATGTTTTCTTCTGGAAACAATTATTTTACTTTTTATGTTGAGCTCTGTCATACTTCAGGAAAAAAAAATTGTGTATGGTTTGAGACAGAGTTCAAGGTAAATGCTTATTACCAAATCTGATCAAGTTTGTTCTGATTAGGATCATTTACAATTTAATCATGCATCCTTAACATAGTAATCACAATTATCCCTACAGAGAAACAAAACAGAAGAGGTAAAAGAAGGTGAAAGTACAAAATAAAATAAGGAGACAGATCTGCTTTTGTTTCCCAATGCAACCATTTCCTATTTCAGAAACCTGCACAGGATTCACGACCTGACTTCCACCCTACTCACTGTCGTTGCTAGGGAAACATACCTGTGAATTCAGGCTTGAAGCCTGTGGGAGGGGGTCCTGCTGAGTTGCTGAATCTCTGATACTGATGAGAATATGGAGGATACTCAGAATATGGTGGAGGAGAGTCTTGACCATCACTGAGGAAGAATTTATAAACTCCAAAGGCAATAGCAAGCAGCACCACAATGGTAAGGACTCCACTGATGTTACAAGAATCTGGGGAGTACAACTTATTATAATAATCAGAGAAAGAGTTAAAGCCATGGTTTTTTCCAGACTCTCTCAATTTCTTCAGGCCAAGTTCTGTGTAATCTAAGTTATACTCCAAGCCACAGGAACCTCTTAGTACATACTGGTCTTCAGAGGATTCATAGCCTTCACAGCTCACCACAGTTTTTCCAAATTTGTACGCGATATCTAAATCAGTCTTACATTCCCACTGTGAAGAAAAGTAGAAACAGATTATTAGAACCAAATAGTTTTTTCCTTTCATTTAATATACATTATTTGGGCTATACAGCTATCATAAAACAGCAAAAAGAAGCAAGGGAATGATAAACAAAATTCAGGATGAGTATTTCTGTATTGGGGGGGGCTTCAGAGATATTGGTGATGTTAATGTACACTTAAGCTAGGTGGTGGGTACGTGAGGGCTCATTTTATTACCATTCCTTATTCCTTACATATAGATATAAGGAGTTCTTTTGTACGTACTAAATACTCCCTAATTTATAAGTTTTAAGCAAATTTTTAAGTGTCAACTTTTTACCACTGTTGTTAAAGATGGTTTCTTGAAAAATAAAGTTTTTTTTAAATGTTAAGGCTCAAAAATTAGCATCATATATGAATATCTGGTAGCTACAAAGACTATCAGAGACAGTGCACAATCATCTGAGAAAACTTTCTACATAATTCTATAAAAGGCATAGATCATCTTTCCCAGGGTCTAATCCTTTAAGTAATTTCCTTAAGTTTTTTTTTAAAGATATTTAGAAAAATGCAAAAAGAATCTGCACTAGCCTCAAATTTTTACACGTTTTAAAAAAGCACCCCAGTTTAGTTTAAATTCTGTAACTACTTTGAGCTGAGTAGGTAACATGTTCTTTAACAACATTTTAAAAGACATAAACTAAAATAGATCTGATTGGTTCTATTGCTTTTCTCTTTTTTGGACAAATTATCTTCTTCACTCAAACTTTAGATACACTGTAACAGCTTTATTCAGATATAATTCACATACTATTACATGTTCACTCATTTCAATGGTTGTCAGTATACTCAGAGTTGTGCAACCATCCCCACAATCAATTTCAGAATATTTTCATCACCCCCAAAAGAAATCTCATCTCCATCAGCAGTCACTCCCTATGTACCCCCAAATCTCCCAGCTCTAGACAACCACCAATCTGTCTTCAAGGATTTCTGTATTCTGGACATTTCTTGTAAATGGAATCATACAATATGCAGTTCGAGGTGACTGGCTTCTTTCACTTGGCAGAGTATTTTCAAGGTTCACACGTGTTCATGTATCAGCACTTCATTCCTTTTTATAGCTAAATAATATTCTACTATATGGATGTACCACATTTTATTAATTCATTCATCAGTGATGGACATTTGGGCTGTTTCTACTTTTTGGCTATTATGAATAATGCTGCTACAAGCTTTTATGTATGTTTCTGTGTGGACACATGTTTTCAAGTCTCTTGGATATTCACCTAGGAGTGGAGTGACTGGGGCATACAGTAACTCTTTGTTCAAACTTTTGAGAAACTGCCAGCCAGTTTTCCAAAATGGCTGTGTCATTTCACATACCAGTGTATGAGTTTCTCCACATCCTCAACAATGTTTGTTAGTATCTGTCTTTTTGATTATAGGCATCTTGTTGGGTGTGAGCTAGTTTCTTATTGTGGTTTTGACTTGTATTTCCCTGATGACTAATGATGCTAAACATTTTTCATGTTTTTATTGGCTATCTGCATATCTTCTTTGAAGAAATGTCTAGCCAGATGTTTTACCCACTTATAAATTTGGTAATTTGTCTTCTTACTGAGTTGTAACAGTTCTACATATTTTCTGGACACAAGTTCCCTATCAGATACATAGCTGCAAAAGCTTTCTCCTATTGTATGGGTCCTTTTCTCTTTCTTGATGGTGTCCTTTGAAGCCTAAAAGTTTTTAATTTGGATAATATACAATTTTTCTATTTTTTTTGTTGTTACTAAACTATTTCATTTTTAAATAATTTTATTTGAAGGAAAATGTATAACTTGTTGATTTAGATAAATAAGACAAATTAAATCTCTATTATTATTTCGCACTGTCATTTCCTTAACAGTATATACTAAAAGTGTCTTCTGATTATTATATTTAAACTTTCAGAATTAGAAGAGGCTCTCTTCTGCTACTAAGTCCATGTATGAAGTCCTCCATGCTTCTCTGCTCACGCCATTCATGCCTTTCTCTATTTCTTCAGCTCTAAAAATCTTATCCTTCCTTCCTAACACAGTACATACATTCTTCCTGAAGTCTTTCCCAATCCTCTCGACCAGACATGACTTTACAACACTCTGTTGGCACCTACACGTAATGTGAGTGCTTATCTTATCTTTGCAATTAGGAAGAGAGTTTCCTGAGGGTTGTGACTCCATCATTCATTTTTATATACTATTTAATATATGTTTAATGAATGACTTTACCATTAGTATCTTTTTTCCCATCAAGACTGAAAAGTAATATGAAAGTAAAAGTAATTTCAGCTTTAACCTGAAGATACTGTGATTCAGTTAGCAAGACTAGGAAAAAATGTTGTGAAATAAGTATCAATGAGCAAATTTGAACTCTCTCCCTAATTTGCATACACTAGGCCTAAAGATTGTATCAAGCAAGAACATCATTATGATGGAAGGGGGAAATTGTCAACACAAGTTTCTTGCCGAATGACCAGCTATCTTAAATACTTTTTGAAAGGGCAGAATACAAAGTAGAAATCTTCTGGTATTGATTTAAATTGAATTCACTGAATAAAATCTATTCCATTTCCAAAGCATAATAAATTTCGGAACTTCAAGGAGATGGCCTACCCTAAATAAAAAATGCCAGAGTCCTAAAGACAATAAAGCCCACTGAAATGTTTTCATTCAGAAATAACCACCCTCAGTTCTAAAACAATTTTAAAATCAAGCATTTGAAGCACAATAGGGACACATGTACCCCCACCATTTACAACCAACAATCCCTTATCATCTTAACTTTACTTTTTAAGGGTAGGTTGGTATTTGTTGAGGAATGACAGAAAAATGACAACCAAAAGAAATCCTCTACCCCTACCCCCAAGTATATGAAAAGTTTTGAAAATTTACTAACGTCTTAGAAGAAAGTTATGGTATAAATATGACCTGAGTATTTCCAGGCTTCAAAACCAGTTCATTTCTTTTGAAGGACGTTTCTTCCAGAGAATGAATGATTGATTTACATTTGTATATTTTAGGGTAACATGAGATTTTCTTTACATGCTTCCCCAAAATACTCAATAATGTCTCAATAAACACTTTACTGAAAAAAAATTCCATTTAGACTGCTATCAACGTAACGAATATTACCTGCACATCATAACCATCCCAGCCTTTGTTCTGACACTGTATGACTTTTGGGGTATAAGAATCACATCCAGCTGTGCCTCCAACACATTTCAACTGTGGGATGGGATCCAACCTACGGGAAGTGGTATAGCGGTCATGGTGGAGAGTAAGAGCTTTTATATCCCGCAATAATATTCTGTCTGAAACAGTAAGAACACAGTTAAACAGATCTTAAATATCTTATCATACAGAAAGATTCATTCTGATAAAATTCTTGTCATAAGAAATATTTTCAAAAGTAAGAGGCTTTCCTGCCTTTTGAGGATGACTCAGAAAGAGAAGCTGAAACCCCTTCCCAGACCCCAAAGTGATCCCAACAACTTCGGGCTTTTTGCACAAATTCAGTCACAACTTTAAGGCCTCCCTTCACATCAGGATGGATGCCCCCTAAACTGTTCCTGTATCGTTATATTCTGCATAATTTTTCCAAAGGTAAGAACCAAAAGTTCATTAATCAGAAATGTTATACTATTGTATGACAACAATAATGATTAATTAAAATGGCAAAAAATATACATGAATGTCCCTGAAGCGCATTTAATGACTTAAATGTCTGTCAATAGGTGAATGGATTAGCAAAATTCTGGCCTATTCACAAAGTGGAATATTCTACAGCAGTTAAAATGAGTGAACTAGAATTCCTGTATCACTATAGAAATAGTAAAAATATTATAAAACAGTACTATATACCGTTAAAGTCTAGACATGTATATAATAATGGTATGAAAACATGCATAGGAATGACTGAATACCAAATTCAGCATCTCTGAGGAGAGAGGAAGAGAAGAGATTTTAGCTCTCTGCCCCTAATGTTTTATTATGTTGAGGGGGTGAGGGGTAGATTTGCTGCAAATACAGTAAAATGTGAAGATTCAATAAAACTGGGTGGTGAGTACATGGGTTTTCACCATATACTTCTGTGTGTTTAAATATTTTAAATATTTCACAATTTTAAAAAATTAGAAACAGTTAAACTATTCCACAAATTAAAAATCACACTGACAAAGTGGTTTAAAAAGAAGTCAACACAAGGAAATTACATCTAGCATTGATGTACATAAATGAATTTTAAAATATTATTGGAAAATGAACAGTTTTCCTATTTATCACCCTTGGATTATGATGGAAGATACTGTGGATTGGTTTACTCAACATTCGTTTTATCGTCAAACTGGCACAACTTCTCACTAAACTGAAAGAATCCTAAAGCCTCTTGCAGCTGCAGTTCCCAAAAGTGAAAGCCACCACTATCAAAACATACATGTAATTAAACCTATGTAATTCAAGCAGTAACACAGGCTTAGAAAAACTGATCACCATGAGCGCAATGTATAAAAATTAATCCCCAATTGTTAAATGTTTATCCTGACTTTCCAGCCAGAACTATAACCTGAAGCAGCCTCATATGATAAGGAAAATCTCAACTTCACTGAACAATACCAGCCAATAAATGCAGAGGAAATGATAGAATTAGAAAAAAAAATCACCATTTTACAACCCCTAAAGAAACTCATTCAGGTAAGGATTAATTAGTTTTAAAATCATTAAGTGAATGGATACTGATATGGTGCCAAGTAACATTATACAGAGTGCTTTCAAGTCACAAGAGGGGAAAAATAAATCTTCACAAAAGAGAAATAAAGCCAATTTAATCCACTAGTCAATCTTAGCACTAATGGTAGAACATTGATATTACAACATAACCTATGATGTAATCCCTGAAAGTATTTAATATGAATCTAACCAATTTTTTGGACCCAATATTCAGTTTACTAGAAATACAGGGAAGGTAAAAAAAAAAGCTAAAATAACACCATGAGAAAACAGAATCCAGAAGGTAGGATATTCTAAAGGACAACAGGCCCAATCCCTTCAGCAAAGCAGAAGCATGAAAAAAAGGACCCTTCTACAGTTTAAAAACACTTAAAGGATAATTCCACTTCTTTAATAAATGATTTGGGCATAACTAGAAGAAAATCCACCTGAAGCTCTAGAAAAACTTTTGGCCACATGGGCCAAAGATCTAACTTCCCAAGAACTATATTAAAATAAAATATGCTATATTAAACCCAAACTACTTCCTAATAAATAAAAAATTGTAACAATGAAAATGCACAATGGTTTAAAAAATCAGAAAGTACTATTAAACTAAATAATAGGAATAATAATTTGAATTTGTTATAGCAGGGTTGAGATAATGCAAAGAATACTGAATTAAATTCCCACCACCAACTTGCCACATGACTTTAGCCAACTCAATTTATCTGTATAAAAATTACCTGTAAAGACTATAATATCCACCTTAAAGTTGGTTGTGAAGCTTAAATATGATTTACTAAAATTATCTAGCAGAGGACTTGACACATAATAGGTGATCAAGTATGATAACTGTTACTGAAAATGTTTAAGGAGTCATATACATACGGGGTTACCATTATCATAACCCTACGGCATCTTTCCTCCCTGGAGGTCCTAAAGGTCGCTATGTTTTGTGTCACCCTAAATTCATGTTGAAGCCCTAATCCCCAATGTGATGGCATTTGGAGGCAGGTATTTGGGGAGGTGATTAATCTTAATTGAGATCATAAGGATGGAGCCCCAATGATGGCATTACTATCCTTGTGAGAAGAGGAACAGTCCAGAGCCCTCTCCCTCTGCCATGTGAGAACATAACAAGATAGCAAAGCCGGAAGAGGGCCCCCACCAGACACCAAATATGCTGGCACCTTGATCTTGGACTTCCCAGCCTCTAGAATGTGAGAAATAAATGTTGTTTACCACCCAGTCCATGGTATTTCCTTTAGCAGCCTGAACTAAGACAAGGTCTAAGAACAAAATGCTCACACCCATACCCCAACTAGTACATCAGTCAAAGATGACACAGAGTTCCCTGAAGTCCAGACTCACAAATTGAAATCGATTTGCAAGTCTCAAATTTAACATGAACAAAACCAGACTCCATCAAACCTGACTCTCCCACAGTCTTCCACATCTCAAGAAATGGTAATTCCACCCTTCTAGTCACTAGACCAAAAAGCATCGAGTCATCTTTGTCTACTCTCCTCCTCTCATCCCTACATTTAATCCCTCAGCTCCACCTTCAAAATAGGTGAGAAGCCAACCACTCTCGTGGACTCTGCTGCTTCTCCCCTGGCCCAAAGCATCACCACTCTTGGAATTCACTGCACAAGCAGCCTCTTTACTGGCCTCCCAGCTTCTCCCATCCACCCCCACACCCTAGTCTGTTTTCCACAAAGCAGACAGAATGAGCCCTAAAATACAAGTCACAGTAGGTCATTTACACCCCTCTTCCTTCAGGTTTCTCATCAAATGTCACCTTAACAGTGACATCTTCCCTGACTAATGTATGTTTTGAAAGTCCCTGTTTCTGCCTGCACCTTGTCCTCCTTATTCTGTTTTATTGTTTCCACACCACTACTCACAATATGAAATGCTACCTACCTGATTTGTTTATTGTCTATTTCTCCTCAATAGATGTAAACTCCTCTGGGGCAAAACACTGTTTTGTTCACTGCTATATTCCCAACACCCAGAAGAGTGATAAATATAAGGTAACTCAATAAAGACTTTTGAAAATTTTTAGATCTCTTTAGAAGTGATTTAGACAGTGATTACTACTTTACTAAATACTTGATAAAAACTAACTCAATACAATGCCTTCATAAACTAGTTCCTCAAAAGAAATTTAAAGCCAAGGAGAATTTATAAAATTAGTTGGGCTTACTCTGCAAAATATTTTGGTGCCTTTTGTTCCGCAACAGTATTATAGAGTAAGTAGACTGAGAACTACCAGGAAGCAGTTCACCATTAATTTAAATTAGGTTCCTTTTTTTAAATCTGTAAACTTCCTTTTTTAATTTAAGAACTGAGCGTTCAAGTAATTAATGTTTTAATCTAGCTTTTAAATTTTAACACTGATCGAAGTCTCCTATTTATATAAGACTTTCTAGGAATATATAAGGAAAATGTATGTACATTTAAACCCAACTTGGCTTTTTATTTATTAGTTATAAAACGTCCATATCAAAGGGGTACTCAAAGTCAAGTATTTACAATCACATTCTCTCATTTTAGCATTTAAGCATAAAATAAGAAACTGCAGAAATAAATCTGTTGCTTACTTCAAAAACAGGCCTTTCCTATCACCAAATCAAGACTGCAATACTTTTCATGCCTTAACATCTTTACTCCCCAAACCAAAAATGATGTTTTCATTGTTTAAAAATCATTGTTCACATCACTCTAATTTAGAAGCACACATCATTTATTAAATGGAAATCTATGTGTGTGTGATATGTGTGTATACAAATACAATCAGTTAAATGGTGTATTATCGATTCCATAAAAATTCGTTGGAGAATTCTAGTAACATAGTGATAGAATCTTTTCCCTAGAAATAACTTGTCGTGTACTATCACATTAAAAAGAAAAGGAAAATTTTTCATTTCAATGGGAAAAGATGGTGTAACGCAATGTACTTCACTGTAATGGTTAGAATAAGCACCATGAGTTATGCTTACATAAATAGTACAGTCTATGACTCTGCTAACCTACCTCCAAGGCTTGCAGCCCTGTCCACTAAGTGTGACTCAGAGACTGTCGGCGCCATGGCAACTGCTAGGTATAGCAACAGGCAGCCATGACAACAGTCAGCCACGATGACATCAGACAGTTATGACAACAAAGCAAGTTGCGCAGGTGAGTGTCCAGCCAGACTCGGGATGAGGGCTGTAGCCCGAGAAAAGAGAAAATGGGCAAATTATGACAGTCCAGGGAAGGGAGAAGGGAACGTTATTAACACTGGAGTCTTCCTGCCCTGTCCACTCCCCAACAGTCCACACTCGTCCAGCAGAACGTCTGGGAAGAGCAAAAGGACCAGGCAGCGCACAGATGAACAGCGAAGAGGATTGAAATGAGGAATTAGGAATGGAAGGGCTCAAACGGAGGCGAATCCTTCTATCACTATGTTACTAGAATTGTCTAACGAAGGAGGCAGGAAGGCGGGAGTGACAGCAGCACTCACCAGGGTCGTTCCAGCCCCAGGCAGAACCGGCGATCAACAGAAGCAAAAGGAGACTAAACACAGGGCAGCATCCAGCCGCTTCCGGCCCGCCGGCCGCCGCCATGGCGCTTGGTGAAGATGGCGCGCGGTTGTCCGGCGCTCACGAGCCGGAACCCGGGGACGCGGAAGTCTGCGCGCCGCTACGCACCGACGCCGGCAGCTCTGGCCGCGCAAAAAGGGAGGTCTATCTGCAGACCCGCTGCCGCAGAGGTCTGTGCGCCAGTCTGACGTCACTGCCGCTGCGGCGCGTGGTAGAACGTGATTGGCCGTTGCTGGGGGGGCGGCTCCTGGGCTGTTGTGGGCGGGGTCAAGGGCGGGACGCCGCCGTTGGGGCGGGGCCAATGGTGGGACGCAGAGGCTGTGGGCGGAGCCGAGGGCAGCCCTCTTGAGGGTCTGTTTAGCGCGAAGGTGCTGCTGTTGCAGAGTTAACTCATCGCAACACTACCTTTTTCAGACAGTTATTTTCAAGCTTTAGTTTGCATAGGAGTCCTTTGGAGTGTTGGTTAAAATTTCAGATTCCTGGACTCCGCCTACAAAAGTTATGATTCAGAAGGTCTGGAGTGGGACTCATGAAGTTGCATCTTTAGGAAGCATCCCAAAGAATTCTGTGGTAGGTGGTCTTTGAAATATAACATTTGGAAATATTGGTTTTAAGGTTTGGACTGACTCTAGACAAAATGTGTAGGCCAAAAAATAGTCCTTAGGGTAGTGAGTGGGTTTTTGTTTTTATTCTTGTTTTTCTAGAAACACTGTGGATCTCATGGCAAAGGTCAAAGAAGCATAATCACTTAGGATTCCCTCATGACCACAGATATTTTCTGACCTGAAGAACAATCCCAGTTGCCCATTAATGTCATAAAGGGTAAATGTCTAATGCCCAACCAACTTGTATTCACAAGAAGAAATTAGGGGACTAGCACCTCACTCAGCCACTAGGCCTCTGGAAGCCCCAAAAGACTTCCTAAAATGTGTCTGTCCTACCACCACCCCCCCCCCACGACTATGTTCCCTCAACCATCCCTGCTCTCAAGGCCAGAATACTGTGGAACAAAACAAATAGTGTTAGTGGTGACAATTAGGGATGGAATCATATACTTTTCCAGAAATTCTGCTAGTCCTTCCAAGATGTTGGGGAGGAGGATGCATATGCCTGCTTCAGTAACTTAGGGAAGGGAGCTGGTGGTTCACAGACTGTCTAAACAGCAGTGTTTCCAGAGCGTATGTTTAAGTGTGCCTTGTGTCTCTGCTATCACATCCTTAAGTGGAAAATCTTTCTTCATGTTTCAGAAGATGGCAGAACTTTTTGCAGTACCTTGAATAGAAAAACAATTCTACTCCACAAGACACAGAAGTGATGTGTTTTTAAAAAATTCTAATTCAACCCTGTAAGTATTGGAGGGAAGTGGGATGGACAATACCATTAGCTTCCCAGGAGCTCTTATTTTAAAGCATGCTGTTATTATCTCTTCTAACCATTCACTCTCTACGTCTTATATGCCAGTTCATCTTACTCTGATGACTGAAAAGATTGAATAATTCAAATCTTATGTCACCCCACCACTACCTGTATATTTTTAAATCCTTCAAAAGATTCTCATTGCTCAGGGTAAAAAAAAAAAAAACAACAAAATAAACAAAATAAAACTCCTGTAAGACGCTGCTATATAACCAAGCTGCCCCACCCCAACCCGGAATAATCTCCACTGGCCTTCTCTCCTCGGTCCAACAGACCAAGCTCCAGGCTCCCACAGTTTGCCGCCAAAGCCCAACATTTCTCTCTACCCACCTCAGCTATAAACACCTTTCCCTCCCCAACATGGCTTTTCCCTTTTCTCACTTTTTCATCCCTTTGTTGTCCCTCCCTCGGGGAAATCTCTTCTAACTAATCTAAATCAAGGGCTTTTCTAAGACCATCTACTCATTTTCCCAGCAGTTATCATTGTTGCAATTTTACACTTGTTTGACTGTCTCACTAAACAGCAAGTTCCTTGAGGGCAGAAACCGTACCTCGCTGCGCTCACCTCAGTACCTACCTCTGTTCCCCACACATAGTAAATGTTCAATCAATTTGTAGGATGACTTAAATAAATGTATTTATACCTCTGCTTTCTCCTTTTTTTCTTAGCCCTGTTACTACCAAAACAAAAAACAAAACAAAAACCTATTCTCACAAAACTCCCAAGAGCTCGAGTTTGTATTAAATCCACCTGTTACTGGGTCCCGCCGCTCCGATCTCGGGTCTCACCGGAACCCTAGTTCTGTATCGGAAAGAGAAGAGCCAAGTACAGACCACCTCCTTTATTACGTGATGGGGAGGAGAAAGAAATGGGTGAGCTTTGAGGAACTCAAAAAGATTCCCCCCAATGCTTCACACCATGCCTCCCCAAAGACGGCGGCCACTCGCGCTCCCTTCTCCTGAAAGAGTGTGGGAGGTCGGCGGGATCGCGCGGACGAGGCGTTCGGCGTAGGGACGTCCG